CGATCGGTGAGTGCATCAGCCTTCTCATTATGATTTAAAAGAAAAATGCGTGGAACTCTCCCGAACATTGCACTAGTGTATTATCTCTTCTGAACATTGTATTGGCATATTTCTTTCAATTAATAGTCCATAAATACATCTAGACAATCATCAATGTATCAGATAAACATCTACTGAAAACACTAATCCAATACAGATAATGCAAACTGAAAAGAAGCATTTAGTAACTTTCTTTGTTTTTGATACTTTTATTATAATTAATTTGTGTTCATGTTTATTAATTTAACTGTATTACTCAGAGCCCAAAAAGATTGTAATTTTTTTATGGTGATAATAAAGTGTTATTGTATTGTATTAATTCGAATTCTTTTGCAGGTTACAATCACCCAGCTTTGATGGAAGCGATAACAGATCCACGTAACATGGTAAGTCGTATGAATAAATGAAAATTGTTGCTTAGTATTCTTGCTTTGTATGTTTGCTAATTTGTTTTCAAATTTCTTTGTTTCAGAGTATGTTTGTGAATAGACCTGCGCTAGGAGTATTTCCAAATTCCGAGTATCCAAACCAGTTGGAGAAAACACTGCTATCGGTATGTTAGTGTTTTCAATAATCGAATTCCCCAGACGTCGGTAATATTATGTTGATTATCATACTCTTGTTGCCCGGCCTCGTAACACTATGATAAACCCGATGTGCATGTAATAATTTTCCATATCACACGTGGTTCTATTTGACCATATTTGGACAAACACATTCTTTTATAGGTTTAGAGCGGCGCGCACTCCAAACTGGTTTAATCCAGTTACCGGTACATAGCGTTCCAGAGAAGACATTCATAATTGTTTTATTTTGATCTTGGAAGTACAAGTTGTGGGATTAAGCTCAAATCCGTCTAATTGTATCGCCTGTAAATTGTTGTACAGCTATATTTATTCATCTATGTCTTGTTGCATGTTTTGTCAAATGGTCATATTTTCTAGGTTGCTCCGCCTGGAATGAGCAGAGTACAGACAATGGCATGCGGAGCTTGTTCCGTGGAGAATGCTACTAAACAGGCGTTTATTTGGAAGAAGGTAACACTATATATTAGTTGTGTCAGCATATCTGACCTTAAAACAAACGACATAGCAAATATTCAAATATGTTATATGTTTCTTGGTTATATTTCCAGTATCATAATAGTTTTTAATAATATGAGTATCATCGACATATTGACATCAAAAGGAAACTATTTTTGTTGAACGTTATATAAAGAATAATTTACCCAGAAGTGCTCTGTCCTATTCAGAGTGAATGATACGTATCTTTGAAATCTTTCAGAAAATAGAAAGGAAAGGTGCTTCTGTAACTGAAGAAGAACTATCATCATGTATGATTAACCAGGTATAACTTTTAATATAATAGTATTTGCAATGAATCAAATGAAAAACTTAATTATTATTTATTACATATGCAGTTTTCATGTAAGAAACATTTACACAAACAAGCTTTCTTCTTCATAAGGACTTTGTGTCAAAACGTTCAAAAACTTTATAACAAATTCTTGTAATTCTTGATAAAATATCATTTGTCGAAACTATAGTTAGGCCACCTGCTTATCCGTTTATCAATTGCATTTCAGAGTCCTGGGTGCCCTCCTTATTCCATATTATCATTTCATGGTGGTTTCCATGGTAGAACTTATGGTGAGTGTTGGGTTTGCACGTGTCTAACATTTCAGTACTATGAATTCTTTGAACAATTTCTTACAATAATTTATGTAGATTTTTCAGAAAATGTTGAAAACTGCTTACCAGCCATGTTTTTTGTCCTTAGGAGCATTGTCCTGTACCCATTCTAAGGAGATTCATAAACTTGATCTCCCTGCTTTCGATTGGCCAATTGCGCCTTTTCCAAGACTCAAATATCCATTGAATAGTCACACTGCAGACAATGAAGCAGAAGAAATGCGATGCTTGGGTGAGGTAAGCAACCGTATTTGTTGACGTGTTCATATCAAACCTGTGATATTTGGTGTGGTTAGCGTGTTCGCATAAAACCGACATATGAAACATTTCACTACAATATTGCTATTGGGTTTAGAAGACAGAACATTATAACAATAAATTGAAAACAATAGCGCTGGCATTCTCTCGAATTCCCTAAAGCCCAAATCTATAACTATATAAACCGCACTGTAGTAAACGCAGTATCATGTCTGATGATATTGGCATGTATATCTGGTAATAGAAAGAATATTGGGAAATGTATGCATGAACTTTTTAATCTATAGATTCGTAAGATTATCGCCGAATATAACTCCCGTGGGAGAAACGTTGCAGGATTAATAGTTGAACCAATCCAAGCTGAGGGAGGAGATTATCACGCTTCTAAAGAGTTCTTTCAACAGCTTCAATCACTTTGTAAAGAGGTAAGCAAATTACAGCACCATGTTGTAGTTCATTGAAATAAGGCGTATGTCAACATTGATTACACACCACGTGTTCATCTATGTATTCATTGTTATACTGGGCAAAAGACAACATACACTGGATTAGAATAATATAGGTGTTTATTATTTTTGTTATTTCTGGAAAAGTGTGGCATTTTAAAATTGGATCTTGACAAGCAACATGTCCTAACTAAAGATGTGTTCTTGAATGTGACTTGATATGTTCATATACATGCAGATAGAGGTTGTGTTCTTGATTGTGACTTTGATATGTTCATATACACGCAGATAGAGGTTGTGTTCTTAATTGTGACTTTGATATGTTCATATACATGCAGATAGAGGTTGTGTTCTTGAT